CCAGACAACAATCGGAATTGCACTGCTAACAGACTTAGAAAAATATTTACCATTATCTAACTACAATGAGCCAAAAGGTAAATTTCTCATCCCTGGATCAAGTGAAGAACACCTTTGCCTAGACAGCTTTTGGCTTTTCTAGCATTGTGGCATCAGTTCATGGACTGCTATCGCATTATAGTATTAAAGAATAATTATTTTAGGGAGCAAAAAACAATTATAACATTATAAAAACAACACAAAAATGCAAGTTTATGTACAGTGTCCTAATTTTGAAAGACAGCAAGCCTATAAACATGAAAAAAAATGTAAATAGGGAAAATGTGTAATTGACCTCACTTGAATGCAAGACTCATTGATGACTTCAGTATCTCCTAAGCTTGATGCATCAAGAAAATGGTGACACTAAAGAGATAGACAAACACAAAGAGGAAAGAGAGGAAGGTGTACAGCACTGAATTGTTATTACAAAAGTAATAGTAATGGCAATGGTAACTGTATTGCCATCTGTGCTCAGAAAGCAATGTCATTGTTAATGGGTTTATCAGAGACATAATGAAGAATACATGTATAGTCAGTGACATAGGCCTGTGACAATTACCATTACAGTTACTCGGTAATCAATTGACTCAAATACATGTACATGTACACCACATACCATTTACCATTGCATTAGTGCATATTAATCTCAACACATCCTTTTCTCTAAGTAATAAGTTAATGTCCATGGAACAAACTGTTTATTGATTATGAGTAGTTAACGGCACTAAAAAAGAGAGATAAAGAGATGGTAATTTTTAGTAATTTTGATGTTTAAACATTGTATTTGTTCAAATTGGACATGCTTTGAATATTCTTAGCATTTTGTCTCAATTCCATTCTCCTGTACAATAAATGATACATCAATTATTACTGACCTAAGGACACTCACTATCTCTCATTTACTGTACATGTCAGACTTGGGTCAAATACAACGTGGAAGTATTTAAATACAAATACAAATACTGTGCAAAAACAAAAATACAAATACATATACTGTTTTCAGCTTTGTATTTAAATATAGTTACAAATACTGCATACATGTATTTCAATTACAAATACAAATACTTTCTTCTCAAGTATGGACAGTTATTAACTATGTAGTTTTATGAATTAATCTATGAAATAAATTGAAAGCCTCTTTTTATT